GTGTGCGTGCGTGTGTGTGTGTGAGCTGTTGTGTGATTTTGTCTTTTTTTTATTTTGAGGGCAGAACTGTGCAGTGTCTGTTGTGTTTGGTCTCTCGACATGTGAAGAAGAACTTTGTTAACCTCAGGTTACTCCCTTCCTATTTTTCCGCCCACACCAGAGGCGGAACAATATTAGGTGCGTTCGACTTGATGCGGTGATGTGTAGCGCTAACTTAATGTGATGCATGCTGGTCCTAACACAATGCATGCTGGTTATAATTGTCTGACTTCATCCAGTGCTGCAAAACATCATGTGACCTTAAAACATCACAGTGGATGTCTGCAGCCAGGACCTCTTGAGCCGGCTGCAGTCAGCCAGATGTTCTCCAGCTGCAGCACCTCTGTGACGTCACAACTCTGCTCTGATTGGCTGAAGGTGTTAAAAGACAAATCCAGTGAGGATCCTTAGGCAAGGTCCTTATTGCTACCAGCCTACTTCAGATATGTGTATGATATAAGTGTTGCTAATAGCAAAGTCATACGGGCTCAGACATTAACCGGGACAACGAGATCTGCGTCAGGAAGAAGACCTACACGGAGAGCAGAGAATATGGGACTATTGAAATGCTACTATACAAGCAATCCCAATATGAAGGAATATATGCAGCGTATGTGAGATCAATGGATGCTTCAAAACCCAACATCTAAGCTAACAAAGACACAGCTGTTAGCTCAGTGTTCCAATGTGCTCAATCAGAAACTGCTATTACAACTAGAGATCAATGAAGTACAACAACGATGTAACGATGTCAGCAAGGGGGTGCCATAACGACAGGTCAGAGGGGAGATATCATCATCCCCATACTCTGAGATTGGGTACCTAGCCCCAGTGGAACCAGGTAGCCTTAATGCAAAGGTAGCTGACCTGAGATTGAAGACCATAGCTAAGATGGAAACCGGGTGGCCTTTCAGAAAGTCTGCTAGAAGATGTGAATGCAACAATAAGCACTATACCATCACTGAGACCAACAAGCTGATGTACACTAGAGCAGCAATAATTCTAGACGTGCTTGACTACGCCATAAACCATAAGGAGCAGTACCCCTCATGGAGAGGATAAGGCCAAGATCAAGGCCACACGAAGTTGGCCAACTATCATAATTGCACAAAGGCGTGTGAAGAAAGGGTTTCCCAAGAAATACAACAAACTCTCTACTGGAGACAGCCAAACAAACACTGACAGCTCTGGCCACTCGCCTGAAGAGGTACACCAAAGAGGGAGAGGCCAGGAGAATAAACAGGATTTTCTCCACCAGACTATCCAAAGTGTCCTCTCAGTGGCAGGTTAATAACACCAGGGTAGATCTACTTAGATTAAGAGCTGGACAGCACCGGGCCCTAACATGATCCACGCCTACTAACCAGCTGCTAACCCAGAAAGGTTCACACAGAGCAGTACAGTCCTTATCATGAAGGACCCCCAAAAGGGAGCAGTCCCATCCAACTACCGGCCAATAACCTGCCTCTGAACAACATGGATGCTCCTGTCAGGCATCATAGTGGCTAAAGGGAGAAGGCACAGGACTCAATACATGAGAGGGGCCCAGAAAGGAATTGATAGCAACAGCAGGGTAGCCAAGCACCAGCTACTGGATGACAGATCAGACACTCAAGACTCGAAAATCAGACAAACCAATCTGTGCACCACCTGGATTGACTACAAGAAATCCTATGACTCAATGCAGCACACATGGATCCTGGAATGCTTGGAACTGTACAGACACTATGAGCCTTCAATGGGGCTGTAGAAAACAACTGCAGAGGCCAACTCGAAGCCAATTGCTAGTTACCATCAAGTGTGGCATAAAACAAGGAGATGCTATGACCCCACTGCTGCTCTGCATAGGCCTGAGCCCCCTGAGCCAGATCTCCGCAAAGAGTGGTTTCGGATTTTCCGATTTCAAAGTGGAGCAAAGATCAGTCACCACCTCTACATGGATAATATCAAGCTGTATGCTAAGTGTGACTGATCGACAAGAATCTACAGCAACGACAGCTTGAGAAAGACTGTGAGGGGAATTTTATATATAAATATGTATATATATATATATATATGTAATGTGCAGTGATAACATAATATGACAAGCTTAGGGCTAACATCAGACTTCCGGATGACTTTATTGAGTCTGTTTGTATCCTTTGCTGTGATGCCTGCACCCCAGCACACCACAGCAAAGAAGATGGTGCTTGCAACATCAGACTCGTAAAACATCTGGAGCAGCATTTTGCAGACATTGAAGGAGCTGAGCCTCCGCAGGAAGTAGAGCTGGATCATGCTTGCGTTTTCACATCATCATGTGTTTACATTGCAGGCATGGACGAGTAGAGAACATCCACAGGTACCAGAGGATCAATCAGTGCATGTGAGGGCTGTTAGCTGATTGATCCTCAGGTTTAAAAGGCAGCAGCTGAGCTGCCAGAGCGAGACGGGTGTGTGTGTGTTTTACTCAAACACTTCATTATGACATCATCTATCTGATATTTTATTGGCTGAAACTGATTATATTTCAAAGTCATGAATGACATCATTAGAAAAGTGATTACACATCAGTGATTGTATTATTTCTGGTCTCTGATTGGCTGTTGTTCCAGTGAAGTCTCTGCTGATTGGTCAGCGGTGGATTGATAAGCTGCTGCTCCCTCGACAACAGGACACAGGTGAGTGTGAAACGATGATGATGACGGATGATGAAGAGCAGAGAGTCTGCGAGTGTAAACCCCACGAAAACTCTCTGACGACGAGTCACCATGACGACTGAAAGATGAAGATTCGTCGACAGAGAAGATGGGTCGAGCACCTGTCACCTGACCAGCAAGAGAGAGAGAGAGAGAGAGAACCCTGTTAATTGAGTGTGTTGGAACAGGAAGTCCGTGTCACCTTCACGGATCCATTTTTTTCTAAAGCATCTGAGATGCACACACACACGCATGCACAATGAAGTATAGATGACGCATAAACAGAAGCAGGAAGTTCACACAGACGATCACAACATCACAAGTATAAAGTGTCTGAACTCCCCTCGTGAAACCACAGAAGTTACATGTAAACATATCTGATGTCTCCTTTTGTCCAAAACAAACTTAGTTTATTGAAACAAACAAATCATGTTAAAGAATGAATGAAATGTGTTGCAGATTAGAAGGCAATGGTGATGTCATCATTGAATATCAGTCACAGATCAATAAGTTTACGTGAACTGATCTCAGATCAGTGTTTTATGTCAGTGTTTGGTCTCCACCTCTTCCTGAAAAAACATCTGGATATTCAGCTGCTTAAAGATCCACATTTTGTTCACAGTGGAGACAGATGTTTATAGCTGTTTACAACAGTTTACCAGTTTTAAAGGCCGACCCTTCTCATCAGTGTGTAAACGTGTCACTGTTCATTACCACGTTTGGATGTTTTTCCAGAGCGACAGCCGTGTGCACTTCAGGATCGCTCTGTAAACGTTGTCTCTTCACTGATCGAAGCAGCAGAAACAGAAGACCTGATATAAACATCAGTGCGATCAATACTGCAATTCCTCCGGCCAGTCGAGTGTCCATATCTCCAAACATCTGCTGTTCAGTGAACGCACCATGAGGGACTAAAGAAAAGAGTTCATGTCAGTGAATGCACCATGAGGGATATTTCACCATTATATAGTAAAGCTGTGTGTGTGTAGTGTAATGTTGTGTTCTATTGTCCTGTGTTGATACTTATTCCTTGTCATTAGTCATCCTCAAACACTTCAACACTTATAGTTTGAACTTTTTACAGTCTGTGGTGCAGAGTGAAGTTAGAAAAGTATGTGTTCATCCTCCCTGGTTTATCTGCACTTTATAGTTTTTTCATGAAAATGAAACTGAATTTTGTCTATTACTGTTCGTATGTGTGGTTTATATATAATTTGAATAATTAACTGAACTGCTGTTATTTTTTCATAGATCACGTCGGCTATTTCAATGTCTGTTAAACACCCAACACAATCTTCAGGCCCAAGTTCTCAACCTTTCAAAATAAAAGCTCTGTAATTCAGCTCGAGATATAAAAAATGACAGCAGCAAAACAGACAAAGTGCTTTTACTTTGAGGACACATTGCTAATCAGGATTAGTGATTCTGTTAATGCTGCTGCAATAATAAAGATCAGCTCCTGTGTCCAAGATAATAATAATAATAATCTGATTATAAAAATGATCTTTGTTGATTTTGACCTGAGGTTTGATTCCGTGACTAGGGTTAGAGAGGACCGATCAACTGTTTATTCAAGTCTTATTAATATTGAGAGAATTACATGTTCAAATGAAACTTAACACTGAACTTTCTCTGTGATTTATATTGAACATGACATGATTTAATGATTGAATCGTGAGATGTGAGTTCCACATACAGACAGAGAGACATTTGTGGAATTAGGGGGTAGATTATGTTTTATATATTATATATGTTATATTTTATATATTGTTATCACATGTTGTAATGGTCACTATGTGATTGGTCACCTGCTTGTCCTCTCTGCAGAACTTCAACATCAACTGATGCTGAAACTTCTTCTCCTGATTCTTCATCTCTAGCTACAACCTGAACAACGATAAAACATAACATGTTTCACAGCTTGGGACACATGATTTCACATGTTTCACGTGAACATGTGAAATCCATCAGCTTCATATAAAAAACAGGTGAGATGTGATGTTTCACACTTTGAAGATTTGAGTTTGAACCTTCAGTCTAATCAATGATTCGATCTGAGATCAGTCAAAGTTTTGGAAAAATTATGAAAACAAACTGTGGGTCACCCTATTTTCTCTAGAATCTCTGTTACCACTTCTGCAACTGAAGAAAGAATACATATGTAACATGTAAGTAACACATATGTAACATTAACAACACATATCTAACATGTAAGCAACATCTATGTATAGAGTAGTTTTGAAGTTTAATACAATAGGTTAAAGGTCAGATGTCACCTGATGATTCTGTGTGTATCCCAGGTTATTTCACCTGTAGGATGTGGCGGTCGAAGGCGTGCAGTTGGTCCGTCCTGGCGATCAGGATCCCCATCTGAGTAACATGGTACAAGCCAGACAGAGGATGAAGTGAGTAGCGGATGTTTGGATTCAGGCCCTGTGATTGGACGACAGTGATGACTCTTCAGGTGTGATTTAGGTGATAAGTGTATATAATCAACTGGACTTGTTTGTGTGTTTGTTGAAGACTCTTCACCTATAGTTCAACTAATGGGAGGTTTCAGGTGTTTAACTGTTGTGGGTCTGCCCCTGTGTTGAGAGTCTTTATGTTAAAGAGGCAGGTCGTTCCTTCCGGCTGAGATTCACAGTGGTACAGACTACTGAACACACTAATGTGACTGGTCTTCTCAGAGACACAGCCACCTATTAGACCTTGAGAGATCCTACCAGTGGCTACAAAATGCATCGCAAATGCATCTTTATCAGCCTTCATTCTGTAACATATGACATCATCAAACACCTGGTTAGAAACACTATATCAAAAATGGAAGAAAAAGACCAGAGGAATAAGTTTGCTCACAGATGAAACCATGATGTTCAACCACGTACCTAAACATTTCAAGCTCAATGACACCCAAGGCAGAAACTTGTTCACTGGAGACAGAACACCCAGAAATGACCAGAAGAGGATTGCTCAGACCTATACATTGGGGAAACAAAACAACTATGACATAAATGGATGGCACAGCACAGGAGAACCAGTTCCTCAGGCCAGGACTCAACAGCTCCCTTGCACCTCAAGGACAAGGGGAAGCATACAAAAACAATCACCTAACGGAGGGGGTGGTTCAAGACACAAACTTTGATCCAAGTTCTCTCCACAGAGAGATCCAACCACACCTTAACCCATGTGACTCTAATGACCTTAATGACCCCAACCCATATGACCCTAATGACGGAAGAGCATGAAACCCACTCGTGTGACTCACACAAAAGCAGGTGGGTCTCTGCCATTCAAACTGTGACTCTGCTCAACACAGGTGAAGACCGACAGAGGTTAAACTCCTGAAACATTGGTCAGTCACTTAGAACTGAAGAAGGTGAAACTTCCTGTTCCACATGTGAGCTTGTATAACTTTGGTAGATGCCATCACCTGAATGATTGAGAATCTTCACAGATAATGTGATAATATAGGTAGAGCAGCACATGTTCTTACATTAGAGAAGTCGCGGTCGGACACCTGGACCTGTAACACCTGGTTTCCATAGGTTGAGACGATGGAGGTCGGGCTAGAGCTCTGGATGATGAAACCTTTAAAAGTGGTTCTGTTAAAAACTGGAGGGAACGTGTTTTCATTCAAAACTCTGACCACGACCAACGCCACGCTGTATTTCAGCCTGTCGTCCACCTGAGACACCTGGACGAGGGGGGGACAGGTGAGGAAAGCAGACTCTGTTCTGATGGTTATGATTGAAACTGTACACAGGAAGTAGAATTATTACCATGACTTTGAGTGTGAAGTTTGGTATCAGTCGTCGGTCGTCCACAGCTCGAGTTAACCTGAGCTCACCTGTCGTGTTGTTGATCTCAAACCTGCCCTGATCGTCACCTGCAGGGGCAAACTGAAAGTCACATGACCTCTGCAGTCGTCATGTTCAATTGACTTTAGGTAAGCAAACTTAAACTGATCAAACGTAACCAACTGTGGAGCTCATTTATTCAAAGTTTTAAATCACAGTGTGTCTCATCGTGTGACACTTGGTCACACCAGCAAGTTTTCAATTGATCGCTGAACGTGAGAAATATGTTTGATACGATCAATGTTTATTAACAATATTGACAGAAAACTTGTTCATCAATCAGTTGATCATCAGCTGATGGTGACTGTAACCCAAACGCCATGTGAGACACGTGTGATGTGAGACACGTTTTATGTAAACAACCTGATAGGATGCTGTAGATCAGAGACATGTTGATTCCTCTGTCTCCGTCCACCGCTCTGATTGGACCAGGAGAGAACTCCAGAACAACATTCTGAAACACACACAAACACATACTTTGATTATCTGTCTTTAATCTCAGAAGATATTATTCTATATTCTGTATTATAGAATGTGTGTGTTTACCTGTGTTCTGTGTGTGATGTTGGTGGTGTAGGCAGGGTTAATGCAGACAGGAACACCTGGAGCGACTGGTGAACAGGGCAGGAAGTGAGGATATTGATCGTCTCCGTCCTCGATGTTCACAGATAAATGAGCAGACGTGTTGAATTTCTCATCTGTGTTTGATTCCTGGTCAGAAAAAAAAAATCTATTCACTGAAGTAAACGTTTTTTTCAAGTTCATTCATTTCAATTATTACACATAATCATTAATGGCTCCCCTCAAGTGCCAGAGATGAACCATTCACTTAAAGTGTCCAGCAGTCTCTGCTTGATAGCACCCGTGGCGGGGCTGAGTTAAGGAGAGTTAACTGGCCAACTAATCTGAGCTGTGCCAATCAACTCTCCCTGGTTCATCTAGAGCTGCTCTGAACCACCTCCACAATGTCATCATGGAGAGTTTGAGTTAGTGACAGTTTCTGTATCAAAGATGTTTTACTTTATTGAGCGTTCATTGCTCGTTTATTGATCCTTTTATTTAAGTGTGATTGGTTGGATCGGTTCTCGGGTGTGGACTCGGTTATACCTGGGCCCAGATAATGAACTCCAGGTGAGGCCTTGTCTCAAAGTCAAGATGTTTGTCCAACATGATGTTGCCGCTGTTTGGTAGATCGATCCTGAAGAAGGCGGCGTCCGGCTGCAGGTGACAGGTACATTCAGTCATGTGACTACAGTTGATTGATTTAGGACAGAAGTATGTGGACAACTCACTGATGATTGATCGATGATGTAACTGATCATGTCTTTGTCTGCATCAACAGCTTTTACAGTGAAGATCACAGAGTTCACAGCCGTCAGCTGCAAACACAGAAAACACATTTTATGATGGTATAATATAACATAATA